GTTTTAGATATTTTGTTTAGATATTTCTATTTTGCGGGAGTCCCGTGAATCATTTTATTCTCCCGCATCCCACACAGTGTCTACCCGCCCGCAGCACTCGCCCATCTTGTCCCGCGCCACTCTCTGTTGCATCGGATCTCGTGGGAGCAGGTCTCTAATCCACTGGCACTTGACTCGACAGTGCATGAGCTACATCCTTTCTACAATCTCTAGATTATAAATCACTGCATTCTGTCAGCAATGTAACGCGGCAGTAACGCATTGAGACCTCCGCTTGTAACTATACTCTAATTACTATTTAGAAAATTATAACGCGTTAAATTACTCCGTTACTAAAAAAGTAATCAAATTACAGTAATGCGTTACTGCCCAACACTGCTACTGACAAAATAGAAGAGACCATGAACGGTAAAGAAAGTCTGTGTACTCAGTCTGCGTTCAGACCTTATCCTTCAGGCCAATAAACAGCAGTCTTCATGACCGCATCAGAGGCCCTTTAAGCACTCGCAGTATTTACTTTACAGCGTCACTTGATCTGGGCTCCAGTCTGTGCATCTTTGGGAGTTTACAGGCTGTTTTAAAGCGTGCCAGGAAGATGAGCCAAGCCCTACACTGGCAGGAGACAGCCACTGACGCCGATAGCGTCCCAGCACCCCTGCTTCACCCCGGTCCTGCCAGTGCTCATCTGCACCCCTGCTGCACCAGAGTTCATTGGAGTGCAATCATAAAATTGCACTCTCGACAAAACAGCTTGGGATAAATAGCAACAAAAGAGATCCAAATTAGAATCGGAATTGTGCTCATTAATAGGTGTATCACTTGACATTAAAACTTGAGCTTGCTTTGATGGTGGTCTAATGGATTAACAGGCACAGTAAGCTGGTTTTATAAGTACCAGAACTGTGGAAGGAGCATACGGAATAATGTAGAAATTATATCAAATACAAATATGAGCCAATATACAGTTACATACCCAAGAGAAAGAGTTTAGATCTAATATTTAACTATTTTACAGCTCCAAGCTTGAGTATGTCCAGAAATAATTCAGAATATTATGAAGTGAGGATAGGATGGGTCTGAGAAATATTGTGTAATAGAGATCTATGTTTTTGGGCTGTGTGGATTGAGATCTTCAGTAATAGACAGAAAACTGATGTTGATGGTCTCTTGATGAGATTAAACATACTGAGTTGGTGTTGACTAGACCCAATAGTCTTGACAATTACTGTTATATAAATGCTTGACACTGGAATTCAAGTTCTCAGTTTCTATACTTATTTTGTAGTAATGGGAATATTAAGAGCTGTTGATGTTTTGACCAAGCTTCAGTGGATACCATATGTTTGCGTTTTATTTCAAGAAGAACACCAGGAAGTTTAACATTCTAATCAAATTCAGATACAAAACAGTTAACAGGAAAAGGATGGACGGATGCCATGGAATGACAAAGAGCCTGAAGCAAGGAAGTATTTCATTTAGCTCTTAATATCTGACCACAGTGTATTGGATCTTCATGTTGTCATCTTCTGCTCTCTGCCAGATTTCACTAAGGTCAGCTAAGGAAAACATTCTCTCTTAATCCATCCACTTTTTGAAATTTAGTACTACCGCAAGGAATGTAGCACCTATGCACACAAAACCTTCAGCGGATTATACTGCGATAGAAGTTTTACAGGACTGTCATGATAGAGATGCTTTATTGGGCAGCTTATTGGCTAAGTCCAGCTGATAGCAGTTCTCTAGGTTATAGAGAGTGAGATCTTGGCTTCTGACTTATTGACCTAAACCTTCTCCTTCAGACAAAAAAAAAAAAAATTTTTTTTTAAATGTGTATATATATATGTACACTACCGGTCAAAAGTTTGGGATCAGTAAGACTTGTAATGTTTTTTAAATAAGTCTCTTATGCTCAAGGCTGCATTTATTTGATCAAAAATACAGAAGAAAAAAACCCAGTAATCTTGCAAAATGTTATTACAATATAAAATAATGGTTTCTATTTTAATATCCTTTCAAATATAATTTATTTCTGTGATGCAAACTGAATTTCCATCAGCCATTACTCCAGTATAAAGTGTCACATGATCCTTAAATCATTCTATTATGCTGAATTATCAATGTTGGCAACAGTTGTGCTGCCAAATATTTTTTTGGAAACTGCGATACTTTTTTCAGGATTCTTTGATGAATAAAAAGTTAAAAAGAACAGCATTTATTCAAAATAGAAATATTTTCTAACAATATAAATCTTTGCTATCCACTTCTTAACAGTTTAAGACATCCTTGCTGAATAAAAGTTTTAATTTCTTTCAAAAAAAGAAAGAATAAAAATGTACTGACCCCAAACTTTTGAACTGTAGTGTATATTGTTAGAAAAGATTTCTATTTTAAATAAATGCTCTTCTTTTTAACTTTTTATTCATCAAAGAATCCTGAAAAAAGTATCGCAGTTTCCAAAAAAAATATTCGGAAGCACAACCGTTGCCAACATTGATAATTCTAATAATAAATCAGCATATTAGAATGATTTCTGAAGGATCATGTGACACTGGAGACTGGAGTAATGATGCTGAAAATTCAGATTTGATCACAGGAAT